ATGTACTTGTGACTCATGATAACAAAGTTCAGCGTGAAATGCTGAAGCTCAGTAACCAGTTGGATGAGTTTGATTCACCAAGAAGCACTAAGGTTCTCATGGCCGATGTACCTTCGAAAGAAATCAGATGAAGGAAGTAAAAAAGAGTAATGGAAACGGTTAATTCCAAGGAAGCCCGAAGTGAGCTTGATTGCACGACCATGTGTTAAAAGTGTGGCCACAATAGAGTGTCTTGGATAGTTTTCTGATATATATGCACATAAAAAGTGTATAATTTTTAATGGATGCAAAAATGATTGCTAGGCACACTTGGATGTCATAGTCAAATGATCATATCATTCAGGATTGAGTGGAATTTCTAGAATAGTCGGAATATGAAGCAATCAAGCAGGGGATCGGAAAAAATGACTGGGATTTCAGTTGGTGGTCTGTAGACGGCAAATCACTAGTTCGCGATCTAGGTTGGCTTGCCACCCAAACAGACACATTCAGCGCCGGAATAATGCAAGAAGGCAGTAAATTTCTCATTCCCGATAAACACATTTGAAGAAATTTTGGCTGTCAGGCTGGGCTACAGTGATTCATACTCACTCCATTACCTCACAAAATGTGACGACACGTTAAGAGACTGAACCAACTGGATTGGTTGATTCAGCTCTAGTAGGTTCAGATGAATGTTATCCGCTGATTAGTCCATTCATCGCTTGGCTGGCTCTGCTGTTTTCGGCGATTCAAGCCCGTTGATCAAATGCTGTCTGCCTTACTGAAACAGGTGGTCCATTACCAACGTGATGGGCCCTTTCACTCACTTCAACTTGATGAACCTTGTCCGCTGTGTGAACGACGGTATGGGTGAAATATACAATCACGTAGTGTAAAAAGACAAGTGCGAGCAACGAGGGTGTGAAAACGTGAGGGACTGGGGAGAATTCGTGCATGAGAATCGTAAAAGAATCATTTGTTACCGCCAAGACAAAAACAACTGTCGCACGAGTTACAGTTGATTGCACCATTCCGGCTCCACTAGTCGAATTGTGATGACTTCTGAATTCATCTTTTGAACTATCCAAACAATAAACTGCGAATAAGGAATGCATTCACGTAACAGTGAGTAACACACACGGATATTTATCCAATAATTTTATGTCGACGATGAAGCAGATGATGAACTACCCAGTAATAACGTAGTGGCTCATGTGCACGTATTTTGGTTTCTGAAAGATCTTGACGACATCAAGGAGACAATGCTTTATAGAATGGGAGCTAAAATCTGTATGGATTGTTTCGAAAGACGATACACCATAAATAAATATACGTCGGTTGAAAAGACAGCACTTAGGCTGTTACTGCTAATCATCCGATGGTTCAGTTACCATGAATTACCTTGTTCGTTTGTAGCCATGCGGTTACAAGACTGGAAATGCGTTCCTCCGGTGCCCAATATAATCGATTTGGACCCAGTGGAGGGTACCACCGGTTTGCCCCATATGATTCTCAAGAAATACACATGTCCGAACAAGTATGACCTGTGAATCAACCTGCTAGATGCTATTCACTTACGCACACCCAAAAACTTACACTAATGCTCATTTTATAGAACTTACAGTCCACTAATACAGCAGAATCGCCACACCGATGGGCTTAAGTTCATGCTGTCTTGAAAGAAGTAACACTATCCGCATTCCGCGGCGTCCAGCAGGTCGTGGCATTTTGCATCACAAACTGTTTATTTTCGTACCCAATTTACGTGTTCTGCTAGCGCCAAAATGATATTTGATAATGAAAACAAATATCGTCTATGAAATTTGACAACCGCTGACGGTCAATGGTTTAGGATTTCACAGCACTTTGTGTTTTGACTGTTCATATTTTATTGCAGTCAAATGAAGTAGGCAACTTAGATAATGAGGTATGTCGTACTCGATAATATCTTCCGGTTTCTGATTCACTGGTTCCAAAATATGAACAAGTCCTTAGATTGTGTAAAGAAGCCGATGACAGAATCCACGTTTGGTTGCTGCATTTCTTAAGGCAAATATGGTATTCCCTCCAAGAGCAAACATTGTCGGGGATGATCGATTCGTTCACGCTTCGGAGTGTAGTAAGCAGGCTACTGACAGTCACGTTGGTGTTAGTTTATTAAAAGTTTGGTTTCCCGATGGGACAGATATGGGGGAGTATATATACTACCTAGCAATTAGTTGTCTGCTGAGAACGGAACTATGGACAGTTGTGGATTATTGAACGTAGATCTGTCCAACAAACAAAACGTAATAAGGTCAACGACAACATCAAAGCAGACAACTGTTCATCTGTCGGACGGTTTTTGAATTCAAGTGAACAGAACAAATTTTTTGCAAAAAAGCATATTTTGAGTGCTTGGTAATTTTTATGCATAACTAAACGAGTTGATTTTGCATGGAACTATCCAGGTAGCCTTTCGAAGCGGCTTCGTAAGGAACTTCCTGGAGGAGGTTCCTTGCGAGATAGAATGGTTCGTCAGTGGAGGCAGGCAAACTATCTTACTTCTGTGTTTTGGAAGGGCTGGACCAGGGAATGCCTTCCACTATTACAACAGCTGCGGAAATGGATAACTCGAGATCCACCTTGGCCGGAGCCGTTCGAAGACGGTGTCGTAAGGGGCTTACTGGTAGGGTAGTAATAAGGATGAGAAGTCCCGGAAATAGGTATGTTTCTACAAACGGTCGACAAGTGCTTGTTCCAAAGTTCTTCCTATTTCACAAACCATGTCGTGTCGTGTGCTTAACTGAGGTTTCGTTTACTAACTTCATTGTAGATGGTGAACACCGTATCAAATTATACACAAATGTACTTCAAAGACTGTATGAAGGGTTAGAACCTACAGGCGAATGCATGAGGGATAAACAAATAAATTCAGCTTCAGTTGGAATCAGTAGACCTGGCCTAAACTTGGCCTGTAGCGTCGACGTCGCCCTCACCACTATCAATAGCCCTTTGGATTGTATGGGTTTTATTCTTCGGAGGCTGCTGTGCAACAGCCTGCCTTTTTTGTGTTATCGTCTATACTAGCTAGCTCACGGGTCTCGAACAATAAAGAGTTTAGTTGTAGTAGGCCTAGGACATCGAGTTCAGCTTGGTTCCACTCGCCCGGTAGTATCTTTACCACAATAAACGTGCTCTGTGGTTGTGTGCCCTTCAATCTCGGTAACACGTTTTTTGTATCTTATCCCTCAGGACCCAGTGAGCTTCCGGTACATCACAACCGATCAGAAGATCTATTTCGTTATTCCGCCAATCCTAAGTTTTGATCCCGTCGAGATGCGGTCACTGACCCAGAACCGATTGTACTGACTGCGATACTCTCATCGACAGATCTTTTATGGTGGATGCTTCCAGAATTTCTGCTTTATTGTTGTTGACCACGTAAACAATTTGTAGGTGCAATTTGACGATTGGATGATCTGGGTACCACTTACTGTGCTCACCGCTAGTGAAGATCCACCCCCTTTGATCCCATATTTTTCTGCGAATTCCTTCCTCATCAGAGTGGTATCCAAGCCAGTATCTATGAAGATCAACGCTCTGTTCACCCAAACTGGGGTTTCTACGCTGACGGCTGTTACTCCCAGGCAAATAGGCTTATGAAGAGAGCGAGACACGGAGAAGACCACACTTGGCTTCGGGATTTCTTCGGTAGTCGATTTCTTGGGTTTGTGCAGTAGAAAATGGTGTTTCCCGTGGATTCTATCCTGACTACGACTTATTTTCATTCGTAACACAGCTGCTCGGTGTGAATCGTTGGAACGGACGGAGCACGCGCTCAGTCTCTTAGATATTTCCCATCGTTCGTCGGCGTCTACGTTACGGAAGAGAGGCTATTCCACCAGGCGATGAAACGCCCCAAATCCTTACACAACGGCAAATTTTCACCTTCATAGTGTAGTGTGTGTGTGTGTGTATTTGCCCGTGGTTGACCTAATCTTGGTTCCCTGGTCCAGAGATGTGTCGTTGAATTCCTAGGTTGCTTGATCGTCTCGTGCACAAGTTGACCGAAAAGACTATTTGCTATTCGCGCATGACGGTCTATAAACGGCGTCAGGTCCTCAAACGTAGTTTGTCGCCCAAATCTACTGATCTCCTCGGCTTCCCCGGTCCATCCACTCTGTAGTTCTGTGGGTAAACTGCGTACTATGGCCTCCACTGCGTGTTATGCGTTCAGATCCGATCGATAATCTTGGTGATTCAGAGCGATGCTGCAGTTCTGCATTTTTAACACCATACTAACTGGAGAGCGTGGATCACCTTTGGAAGGTCTTGCCTCTGATAGTACTCCATCGATCAAGTTCCGAGTGACCGTACACGGTTGCCCTAACAGGGCTCTCAATAATTCACGTGCTCGGGTGTAACCCTGTTGAGGACCCAGCATCGAACCCCGTCCATCGCTTCCTTGGCTTTTCGGCGACAGTAATGTAGCAGATACAAGAGTCTCTGCCCTGGATCAGATACTCTCTTTTCTACAAAATTATCGTATTGTTTAATGAACTTGCAGTACTCTTCTGCGATTCCATCGAATGGGGACAATACCACTCTAAGTCAATTACGTGTGTTCCGCTAGCACAAGTACGTCTCAATCGGTCCATGGAATTACTAGGCTGTGGCTTCCAAGTCCACCCCGCGCTCCCGTCTTCGAAGTTGTTTTTTCCTGGCTGACTCAGCTTCTTCCCTAGCCTGCCTAAGCCGATTTTCTGATTCTACTATCCTCAATCCATAAATAGCACAACGTTTAAATTCTATATCACTGTTTGAAATACATGAATTTGCGCCAGTGGGACTAGTAGACCTAACAGTATCTAAAGAATGATTATCACCCAAATATACCCCAAGGACTTGCCGAATTACTTCTTGTCCAACTTCAATTTTCTTATGTCCTCTTCTTGGCATTTTGATTGATTCACTCGGGAAGAGCCCAAGTTGAGTACTGCAACGGTTATTGCTATCCCGAGTAACACGTAGCCCAATTAACGAATCCTAAAATCGGAACGAGATTGATTCGCTGATTCTACGCTACTGGATTAACAAATCATACGCAAATAAATATGTACAAACCTCAACTGTACGGCCAAAACATTTAGCAGCGAGGACCAGAATTCAACAAAGGTCAATGTCAAATACCACCATTGCGGCAGGTCGAGTTCGAATCGAAAATATGCCACAGCACATGAGCAAAATATAAACAAATGTTCAAGTGTGGTGGTTGATGCATGTTGTACTTGTTCGAGGGTTATTAAGATAAAGATCATAGTCTCAACAATACAAGTATGTGACAACGGCTAGGGAGAATTTCCACACATGTACGTTAGAGCTGGTGTGGACTCGCTGGTGCACGCCGTCGCGCTCCGTTCACTCCTGGATGGTGTGTTGCCGACAGTGGATGAAGCGTCTCGAGCTGACCTGTTGGCGGGCCGATTCGTGGATAGTCTGCCGGAGCCCCTGCTTGGGATCGTACGCGTCGCCCATGACGGCTGCTCCTTGGATGTGTCCTAGCTCACGGACGTGGCTCGAGAACTATCCAAGCTTGACGGGCCTGTGGTCATTACGACACACATCGGTGATTCATGGACGAATATCGAGCTTGTGGAGGAAACTTTTGGACTGGACATTTTGAACCTGGAGGACGGATCAGTGAGAGCCGATCTGTTGGAAGAAACCGCGTTTTCCTGCTGCGGAAATGTGGAACCTGTCTTATACGAACAGCCTGAAACCTCGGAGGATGGTAAAGGAAGTATATTAAAAGAATTTCTGCTGGAGACTTCAACCGCTACTAATGAGGTGGAGGATATCGGAAAACTGAACCATATCCCTGAAAAGGTGGAAAACGGTAACCGAGATTGCTCTGAACATCAACCTAGTGATGGTGGAAACGAAGACATATCATTTGCTGCGGTTGCCATTGTATCGATAGTTCACGGGTATTGTCTTGCACAATTGAAAACCATAGCGCCTTGTAAAGTGGAAGCAGAATAAGATGACGACCTACCTGAGGAAGTGCCGGGTGATGAAGTCCAACAATATGCACCCCGCAAGGGAACTGCTGGAAGTCATATCCAGGCTGATAGTGAAATTACAACGTATTGTTCTCAGGCACGATTTTGTGGTGTGTGCGATAAAGGTCGAATGATACATGCACGGTGTTCAGTATTCACTCTTCACTGTTGTCATCTAGAAACAAGGCTGGTGTCAGTTTTCATCACGGACCGGACCAAGCATACAACCGGACGAACTGTAGGCCGGATGACAACAGTGCCCTGAACCGGTATTGAGGGAGTGGAATTTAAAGGAGAGGAAGACTTGAAGGCAGTCTGCAGGATTAGGATCTTTCTTCTTTTGTCAGGGGGAGGAGTTTGGTGGAGTGTATATACTACTTAGTGAGTAGTCGATTGCTGAAAACGGAACCATGGACAGTTGTGCATTAACGAATGCTGCTTTGTCAACAGACCAGAAGTAATAAGATGAAAGACAACACGCAAACCGGACAACTGCTCTCCCATAGGCTGACGACTGTTTTCAAGTGAACAGGAAAACTAGTGTGCAAAAAAGCATGTTTGTAACATTTGGTTAATTTTACTCATGCCGAACGAGCTCGTTCCAATTGACAGCTTTTCACTCGGGTGTGTCCTTTAGGTCGTAACACATTCGCTTCACTTCAAACTTGTAAGATCTTAACGTTCACCAGTCAGCAGCTGATTTTGTGTTTTTACGAGTTCGTTCAATCAATCAGTGCTGGCACAATGTCCACTGTGCTCCATATTACGTGCCACCTGTATCAGTGTTTCCCGGAGTAACATTCGAGTTTTCGACGATCATTGTAAAGCAAGTCTGCTGGTGTCACTGAGATAAGCTAGAGGTAAATGCGAGAATTTTCGCTGGTCTCAATTATCAACACCGTGTGAATTAGCGTTCTCCCTACAACGAAGTGGAATGCATTACCATTCAGAGGATTTCCGTTATGGTGCAAGCCTAACTTTACTTTATCACCAAGGGTCAAGAGTTTTCTTTTGTAAATCGATCTATCACCATTTACGGGCACTTGCAAATTGTACTGTCCTGGTGTGAACCTATCCGTTATGGTTATTAGTGAGCTCGGCAAGCTCGCTGACTATGAGATCAAATGTCCAAAGTGCGTCTTTCAATGTGCGCCGGGAAGAACTGAGCAAGCACAGCAACAAGCACGACACGCGAAATTTCTGGCGCAGTTCACGAAATGTTTCCGCCGACCTTCTGTGCACCATATGAAGGGCCTACGATGTTCACACATGCATACCCAAGTACAACTTCTTTAACATACCACAAAAAAGAGCCTTTGAGCTTTGTTCAGCATAGGATCAAGTGGGATTTTTTACTACAGTGTAGATATGCTACCCGATAGTCGTAGTCACACGAAAGGTGTGTTTGCTTCTGAGGGGTTTCAACCGTAAAATCATTCGGGATGGGAAAATATGTTTACTTTGAGGATGTGACCTTGCTTCCGGTGTAATCTGTAGATGTTGAAGAACCCTGCAGTCAATATCGAAAAGGGTTTCACTGTAAGAATAAATCCATGCACTTTTTCAAGTGAGAGCAAATTGAATAGGAGGAAAGATACTGATTTTACTTTAATGTCCCCAACTTCAATGATGTGATGACCGGTGGACGAACGTGTCTCCCATTGTTCAATTAACCGAAGAAAATCATTTTGAAATGCCCATTCTGATTTTCATTTTATGCACTGTTCATTGGATACTTATGAGCGTATGTTCATATTTAAACGGATTATCATGACAAATTTTGGTAAACATTGGCATTTAAACTGTTGTTGTCTAATACTTTGAATATTGACCATACGAAGTACACCATTATACGACTTTGTGGTTTAAGTATACTCCTCCACACAGCTGTCTTCAATGACGAGCGAGTGGTGCGAAGAGGACAGTGACTGCAATAATAATGCAGGTTATTTTTGGATCCGAGAGAACGTTTTTAAGAACTGGACAACACGAAGTTAACGCCAGAGGGACCCCTCAGTTATGATCCATCATCGTAATCCTGCAACATCTTGAAACATAACGCATTTGGGTTAGGTTTATCAGACAAGCTCCACTAAAATTTACCCCGAATTTGTCATTTAGTGTGCCCAATGAAGTGTATGTGACACATTTCCAACTGATGGTCACCAGGTTGCAGTGGAGGTTGTGGCTACATCATGCCCCACAGACAGGCAATCCGAAGAGTTCTGCCGACTGGAAATCCACTCAGTTTGATGGATAAAGTTTGATGCAACTTCCATCTTCCGTTAACCAACAGCATCTTGCAAATTTGACCCATTCAATTTCAGATTCTGGTTTCAATATATAGCTAGCGATAGATAGTCGTCGAACATATAGCTCGAAAATGTACCATCTACGAACATTTGACGAACAGAGGCGAACAGTCTGCAGAGAAAACCAGAAAAGTACTATCCTATTGTTTCCCACTGTCAGATTAGCTCGTGAGATAAGTTATGAAAGATTGGTCACTGCACATGACTTCCTGTCTATCATCATTATAGAGATGATGGTTTCTTACTGTTTAACATTCACGAAGAATTTGCAACATAAATCCTACCAATCATAATATCATCCTACTCTACAGATTTGTCACACCAGATAATTTCTTGAAGGATGATTATACCGCACATAGACTTCGTCGGAGAATTCGCCACATTGAAAACCCTTATCAGAGCAAATTTGGATTGATGTCGAAAAGTAACTTTGAAGGTTTATTAGAATTAGATTTTCACCATTCTTTTGACTTGACATATAACGCATAACCCTGGATGAAGACGAAAATACAAATAAATCGTCATAACACTACAGAATGAGCGGAACAATGGATCACTTACATGATATTGTGAGATGTGAAGACAGATTGACGAACAAGCTCGTTTTCAGCTTGTTTGCCAATTTGTCTTCTCATAATGTGCTCACTGGGAATAATCAGACGATTGTAAGATGTCTTGTTATAATGAGACAACATGGAGTGTGACTACTATTCGCCCCTCGAACAGCTGCTCTACAATTCTGGTCCAATTCCGCGACCATGTCCTAACGAAAATGTTCAAACCATTACGTCTTTATAGAGGGCTTACGCTGACAATTTTCGGGAGAATCACTGTCGAGTGACGAAATATGAATCGGAGTCATCATGTGAGGAAAAACAAAAAAGACTGATAGCAGCTAGCCCTTAGCGGCACAACAATGTATCATATGACCGTTCACAGCGTTGTATGCAGTAAAGAGCCTTCTCTGTTCAACAAACATCCGGCTCAACAGGTTTTCTCACTACTTATGCTTTCAAAAATACAAGTATACCGAGAATCAAGAGAACCTCATTGAAAACTGCCGTGGATGAATCGATGATTGAAATGCTAAACCAATGCTACTGATTTTCTAACTGTCCAATTTTGTCGTCAGCTTTTCTTTCAAGAACATATCACTAGAACAAATGCGAACATTGCACCAATAAGCTCATAATTTACAGTTGAATCCGATGAATCATTCTTACTCTTTCTTTGGGAATCTTTATTTCACTGTTGGGGACTGTTATCGTGTATCTGTGTATCCACTCTCTTCCTCAGTTCGCGATATTTCTCTTATCGCCATTTGCGGTGACTCATTTGTATCGTATCCTACCAACCCATGAATAACTTCATTCCGTCAGAATATTACTAGTGTTCATAGCACAGTACATCTTTGTCAGAAGATATACTTGAAACACGGCCATTTATCGAATAATGACAGAATAGAATGATTTTCTTCACCGAAAATCACATAAAGATAATTTCTGCTGTCTAACTCTTCTTTGTATTTCCCCATCGTCTGGTTAAAACATGCGGGTATAACTAACGACTGGAACTATAAAAAACATCTTTGACATATACTGTCCCACAGAGAAGGTTCACCTCCACCCAAGAAGAGGTGGTCTCCCCCGGAAAGAACGAGAATCTAACCTATGAAAAAGGCAGCATATCTGAGGTGAGTAAGCTAGCAAACTTGGTCAAAAGAGAAATCAAACATCAGGATTATATCTTATCCTAAAGGATTCTGCACCACGGGAAGGTCATAGATAAATGGGAGGGGATCATCCTTCCTCATGGACGAAAGGAGTGTCTCCCCTCTGATGACATAGATGTTGACCATATGAGTTTTTCTATCCCTGTTTTACAGCAGACTGAAAACTCAAAAATTAACAAATTTTCAGCAGAAAAGTTTCCAGGCTTCTCAGGTCTACTGAGCTAACAAAAGCATTTGAAACAAAGAGCCTACCTTCTGCTGCATGAGGCTGGATTTCTGTATGAGTTAACGAATATTTACATCCATCCCTCATCCTAATCTTTCTCCACTTCTGATTGTCGGAGCTATTTCACAATAATATTCATACCTAAACGGTTAGCTAACAAAACCGGAAGCAAGAAATTCTGTCCAAATACAATTCCTTCTTAGGTTTTGAAACCAGTTGGATGAGCTTTACTTCAGCTCATTTGGAACTCAATCAAATGTCCCATGGAAGCAAAATCTACAGTGCTCTCCGAATGAACCAGTTGCGTGCTTTAACTATTTAATTGCCTAATCCTTTAATGGTTCGTGCACACCAGTTAGACGTGCCTTTCTCAATAGCACATCAGCGTTTGATAGAATATCACATTCCCTGATTCTCAGAATATAAATTAGTTGCTTTATTACTGAACTAGTTAAACGGTTATTTCTCAGAAAAAACGTTTCCAGGCATATCTTGAACACTGTCGATGTTATTCAAGGAGCTGTTCCTTCTCTGCATGTATTTACTACTTACATAAGGGACTTAACTGTAAGCCACTGGTCTGGTCTATGCCGGTGATGATGTCTCACAACATACCGATCTACGTGAGTTTCATGAAAGTATGTCACTAATGTACAGCACTTATCTGAGGAGTTTGGTTCTCTGGAAAACAGCAATTTATCTGCAAGCATTGCACTAATAAGCTCACAAAGAACAGCTTAATCCAGTGATTTATACTTGCTTTCTGATTCCCATAAAGGAGCTTTAGAAGGGAAATCAAACCGACAATTTGTGTAGTTTGAGCATCATCTGCTTACTAATGACACTACGGTATTTCACAAATAAGTATTTATATTGCGCAAGTTTTGGGTGTGTTTGATAAAGTTCGACTGACTCGCTGTCCGCCTAATTCAATGAAAGATAACAGGCACCAAATATGGACATGCAAATCGGCTGTATTTATCATTGTTGCATTTTTCAAAGCCGGTGTCCGCTAACATAATTTATCATTGATTATTCATTTTGTTCGTTTACCGGCAATAATATAGTTTACTCGTGCAGTGACCTTGATTTCTCTGTTGATAACGCGTATTTTCGCTGAGGGATATGAATGATACTAATATCAGAAGAATGTGTTGCATTTGAGGTGAGAAAGCATCAAAAAGTGAATAACTGTTCTCACGTGATAGAAACTGACAAAAACCAGACTGCATCTTTATTGTGCAGCGGATACCAATGAATGGTATTCCACGTGTCCTCGAAAGAGAACAACTTTCCCAAATAAATCATCATCATTGAGTATTAAACTTCGTCATTTGCGTCCGATTTCTATATATATATATATATATATATATATATATATATATATATATATATTCCGGTAGTAGAGTTAGAGTCCAATAGATAGAAGGTGGCTGGTTCTATTCTGGCTCGTGGCACGGACATTTTCATGCGAGTGAGGGAAACCCTTTGTGCGGTAATAATGACTCCAATCGTCTTACGATTTGCACACTCTGTATGCAGTTATCTAAATGACACTATTCATCATGCTAAGGTATTCTTCAGCGTGCTGTTGGCAACTACGGAAGTACTGTGCAGCTGCTTTACTCATGTCAGGAATTATCAGTTGTAGATATTTACGGACATTCTGAATGTTCCCATTGGAAATGTGATTTGCTGTTGGACTTCGTGTTACCAGTACAAACATGAATTTAGGGAGTTAAGTTTCAAGTTATTCGATTATGCTAAGCCCCGAACGTATTTTCCACTGAATTCATTCCTAGTCAAATGGTGGTGGTTTCCGGATGTGCTTTCGGTTAAGTGCTTTATTCCAGGTACAACGAACTATGCGAGGTGGAAGTCTTATGGTCAATTTCAAGGACCGATTTTTCTGAGAAACCTCACCGTTTGATGACGGAATAACATTTGTTTGTGAACATGCACATGTATGTGAGTTAAAAGCACTTGTATTTGCCAGCTTACCACGTCATCCAAAGACGGAAGAGATATAAATCACCGCTGCGGATTAGGATATTCAAATCGTTCATATAACTGAGAGTGTTCCAGAGAACTGAACCGATTAGTGGTCAGACCAATCGTCAATGTTCAGCATATTTGTGTCAAAGAGAACATTGTTCCCCTCTGAATTCTTCATTAGGAATGATGTATGAGATGAATAGCGGCAACTGAATTCACCGAATGACCAGCTTCACCTATACACCTAATAAACCGTGAATTGTGTTCATAAACATCTCACTCATGTTTATTATAAAATCTATGGAAGCCAATTTTTGCTGCACGTTGTACATGTGCCCGATACAAATGTGGATAATTTACGGTACAGAGCCTTGAACTCCTGAAAATTATATTCCTTGAACAAAGACTGGTGGAATTGAAAACAATAATGCTATAGGCCTTGGATAACTTTTATAGAATACAGCAATTATATCAACAATGATTGTATCATTAGTTCAAACAATTAGCAGAATGCAACTCTGGTGACGAGTAACGAAATCCAGTCAGTTGCTTGAATCAATGGCCGCAATGAAAAACCTGACAACGAAGAAGAAGGGCTGAAATAAATGACATTGAGAAAAGTTGTATTGATAACGTGACAATGATCGGAAAATACCAATGAATATATGACAATTATTGCAGTGACACATAAGGAAGCAAAGGGTAGACTCATCAGAGGTAGAATCAACTGGTAACAGAACAATAGGAAAAAATCTGTACAAAGATAATTCCTGTAATGTTTACGAAACAATATATGCAATTAAGTTCATACCAGTTGTGATGAAGAAGAACCAGAGAGTAACAAGGACGACAAAACACGGCAGGATACTTGCATTTCACCGGAAAAATAAATCAAGTCCTGAAACACATACAATTATTTATAAAGGCCTTTTTCCACACTGCGCAGCACCAGGATTGCTCTTGCGGCAGCTTGTATACTTCGGCTGCGTTCTGGCCAGTTGCCCGTAGCCGATGGCTTGCTTCTCTTGGGCGCCATTTTTCTTTGGTAAATCCGATTGCCTCCGTTGGCCGCTCTATCGACAGCCTCTCACCTGGGCTATCTTGCTGGTTGCCGGAGTTTCCGCTGCTTCCTCTCTGGTAGTCCGTATGCCTCCTTTTGCCTGCTTCGGGACTCCTCCGACAAATTTGCCCCCTGTTCTCCTGCCTGTGGCCCTCGTTTGGGCCGTCCGTTCGCCTTGATATTCACGCCGTTCCCTCGCCCCAGCACTTCCCGTTACAAAAGTACCATCGCCAAAAATCATGAACTCACTTTGTGTGGACATTGTGGATGTAGGTGCAGATGCAGTTCCGATACCGGGTGGACCGGCTGTGCTTCCCAAGCCTGTTTATTTGAGGAGTGTGGAGAAATCAAAGGCAATTGGTTATAGTGGATAAATCTGTTAAATCAATTATATTATTGCCATATTACCAAGCAGCCTATGTAGTCTGATAAGTTCATGGAGAGGCATTTGCAACCTTATCGGAATTCAATAAGCAACAAAAGACGGCCCCCATGAACGAACTAGACAAATCACAGCTGATCAGTGTAGATCAGTATAGATGGGAAGAGCTCAGCTCAGTTCAGATGAAATCTCCTCGACTCATCCGAAGTCAGCTTCTTCGAGTTTGTTCAGCTTTGGACAGTTCATGTGCATGAGGTATAAACTGGTTAAGTTAAGGACAGATTGATTTACTTCAGCTAATTTTATATCAAATTCTATTGGATCCGTTGAGCCTAAATCCTCTCAGTCTGGTTTTCAGTGAACAGCTCAGATCGACGGAAAACAATTGCTCTCAGGTCAAGTAAGACAAGATGATAATATATCAGATATGACTAACGGCTTCCTTCGTGCCACATGAACAAGTTTTACATTGTCAACATCTTCCCACATACAAAAGCTAGAATATGCAGCCATACCGTCTCGTGTTGTGCAGAGACAATGAAAGGTAAAATATGTGCAGCTCCATCATCTGAATTCACTGAAAGGCAAGCCTAGATCATTCGGAGTTGTGGGAGCATTTTCAAAAGTTCGCCTCCATCAAACGATCTCAACAAACCACAGCTGAATACACAATTTGGAACAGGATAGGATTGGATAATGATCGGTCAGAAGAGACACATGGCTTTACTACATTTCAGGTAAGATTTTATCAGTATGTTCGAGGTAAGCCACAGTGATCCTATCCAAATAAGGACAGATTCGTTGCTTCAAATAAAAAATAAATAAACGAAGGTTGAACAACAGAGTGGAACTGAATTTGGTTAAGTAGAATCTTCTTCAAAAACCGTTTGAAAATGACCAAAAATGATCTCGAATTGAAACAAGAGAAAAAATTGAAACAAAAGCAAAATATCGACGAAACTCAGTTATAAGAAGAGTGAAGCAATCACCCGCGCAAATTAAAATCTGGCAGAAGTTCAGTGATCTCAGTCTGACGGAATCGAGAATGTACTACCAAACGTAGAACTGCACAATAAGTGCAGCTCCATCTTGTCCGTCCATATTTATGTGCGTCTCATTTAACGACAGAGCCTGGGCCGAGAAATGGTTGGAGGAATCCCGGAATACTTGGGTTGCAACTTTTCCACAGCCATGACCTGAAGAAGAGGACCTTGAAGAACAGCTATATTGGCGACAGAATCGAATAAGACGGAATCAATTCGAACCGAATCAAATCGAATTGGAAGAAGTGGAATGAGAAGAAGTCTGGCCGAATCGAATTAAATCAAATCGAATCGAATCGAACCGAACCGAATATGATTAGATTTGGCCGAAAAATAATGGATAATATCTGCATTCTCGCTATATTCGATTCGATCTTAGGATAAAAAATGTTCGTATGTCTTTGCTTCTCATTGGTACAGGTTCATGTTAGGATACATTCAGTGAGGTATATATGCAGATTTCCACGTAAAAATAGAGGGATAGGTACAAAACCTGCGCTGACTTTGTGGGGCCATTGGGGACACAGATTCGGTTGAAAAGGCTTGTGTGAATTGGATTCTACCAGGTGAAATCTAAAATGTGGCAGTGTCCACTGCATTATTGTTGGTCTTGTTATTGGTAATATTATTACATTATAAAACACTGTGCCAACTGAGGGTCTGATACAAATTTAGCTGTTGACACCAGACTTAGGAGAGGAAAGCTGCTGATTTTTGGGAGCTACTGTCCAGCCAGTTTCTCAGATGACGGATAACTGCTAATTGAAGATAGGAGTTTGTCGACGCGGGAGTGAATAAGAGAAGGATAAAGTGGTTAAAACCCATTTTACGAATATTCTATGAAAAGTAGGGTCCACGTTTTTCCGTATCACAATCAGCGTATTGTGTATTATAACTGCAATGTCGACCTTACTAAAATAGAACGGTCAAATATAATAAATATACTAAGAGAGAGTATTTCCGTGTGAGATTGTGTACGATGGTACGAATAAGGATAAATCAAAGTTGACCTCTTGTTTATTTAGGCAACCAAAAGCCAGCTTTAAACGCTAGATGAGCGCAGTAATTTGTCGCAATCGTTCAGCAATTCAAATTCCATTGTGATTTGTTGGAGCTTTTGATTTGAATTTTCTACGACTCAGTGAGATTTTGGGGATCACAAGACCAGTATCTTTGACAACAACTCAAAAAACTAGTCCAATGTTTTTTAAAAATTTGATGACTCGCTCCTCCATTTGGTTTGAGCTCGGATAATTTATGCTCAACTTCCTTAGTTGTATCATCTACGATACGTTGAACAATACGTCTTTCATCAGGTCCAATCAGTTTAGTCTTTCAGTCTGACCATATTCGAGTGAGAAGTTGGTTTAAATCCTCCATAAAATAGGTTGATCCAGTTTCTGTGAAATTCCGCACATAGTTTGCAGCCTGCTGTGATGTTTCAGTTCGGAGAAATTAGTTCCCTAATCTACACTTTCTTCGTATTTCGAGGATACCTGTATCACGCTAGACTTCTCTAGGAGGCATTCGCAATGCATCGATATCATACATCTAGCTACTCAAATTATTACCAGTAGTCAAATTGAAATTCGATTATCAGTCAAGCAATGAAAGTGTTGCTGGTCTTATCGAACAAAAACTGATTTCAGAATGATTCTTCCTTGAGTAAGCGGTACGACGGAAATCAAACAGAGCAAGCCTGCAGAAAAGGCTTCGTCGTGATACGAATGAGAATACAGGGCACCGGGAGTGATTATGTACAGGTGTTACCGAAATTCACCAAACGAATTTCTCTTCAAAAATAACTCTCCTGAACTGCTCAATGTATTTCACAATGCAAGGCTGAAATATAAAATTCAGAAGAACTTGACCTCAGTTACGTTACTTCAGTCACAATCCGGTGGAAATCGATATTTTGTGACCTTGGTCTTTATGTTAAATTCGTCTGAAGTTCAGATGCTCGAAACTAGCTGTCTGCTCACCATGGCCTATTGTTGAACTGACGAAAGAAAGCTTTGGTATGATGAGTTCTGCCGTTCAGTACCAAATTCCATCTTACGTTCCTACAACGTATCCGCCTGAAGAAAAAGGGCAATGACGAAACGAAGATAAATTGGGAATATTATGTTTTATAACAGTTCAATGTACAGCAATGTAATATGACACATGACTTCACCGGATAGATCTAAGCGAAACAGCTTTCGTCGTTCGTGTCATGTATATGCCACTCAATGTGATTCGAATAAAAAAATCAAAACTGAATTATCTACTTGATACTGAACACACTGCTGATCCTGTGGAAGGGAAGATGAATTTACAGTGAGATATCTTATATAGCCGGAATCAAGCAGAGCTGGACTCTGGTGTAAACATTGTCCGCTTGCTAATGACACCACATCATTATAATAATGGCTCCTTACTAAACAATAGTTCTGGGGATCAGTCGTTATCATTCGATTGATAAACCGTCCAGACTAAAATACCAGGCACCAAATCTTGGTGTGCAAATCATCCGTGTTTCTCATTGTAGTTTTTCAACACCAGTGTCTGTTAACATTTTTTTCTGATCGGTTACCCTTTTCGTGATCTCATCCTAAACGTGGTTCGTAATAATAGTCTTCCACATGCAATGATATGAATTTCTCTCTCGATATTTTCGGTTTTCTTGAACGGTGCTCAGAGAGTTAAATCAGCAGTATATGCTGTAGGGACTTTGACGGAAGAGTTGAGTGGAGAAGGCGTCGAACGTGTAAATATTTATTCTCATGTAATAGGATCAAATGCTGTGACCATTCGGACCATCATAGCACCCGGAAAATTTATAATACCTGGCAAACGACCTTCCCGTTAGCTCGAGAAATTCCGATTGTGAATTGTGCTAATGAGAACAATAAAGTAGATGAATAGATTATTCAAATTGTCATTCCATTGAAATACGCGAGAGCTTCAGCTAAAACAGTACTCTCATTGGCCAAATCTGATATGAATGATTTTACTTCGGAAAGAACACATTAAGATGCCAACACAGTACGTTTGGCATTAGTGAAGAGAGTGACCTTGTGGGATCAGTCGGGATGCTGTTTTTAATTAGCATTGCTGACATGTCTACTTTGTCCGTCGTTCTTTTAAATTCCGAAAAATCTCGTGAAAGCTTTCAATGAATGAGTCAGAGGACCGTGATAAATGCTAAGCCCCCTATGTGGAAATGAATTTGTCAGCAACTTTTCATTCAAAATGGTATCCTAAAATACAAGGGATTTCTGATAATAATTGTGACGTTCTCAGTTTTGTAAAGACCTCATTTCTGTCCTGATGGTCACGTATCATTGTGTTCGTTTTTCGAGTTGGACTTCAAGATTATATAGCACTAGTGATCTTCAAGCAAACGTATTCAGTCCGTATCATGAAAAATATAATGTATCACACGCCCAGTCAGCACCTGGAGCGTTGGACTGTCTGGGTTCAATATAGCTTTGGTTTCGAGACGACCATTTCATGTGGAGAATCGAGCAATATGAGAAAGTTCACAGAGTTGATTGTTTGCACGAAGCAGCAGGGAATGAAGCACTAACCATTTGGATCTACCAACCAAAGGCTTCTTAGGTAGACCATACACCTCATAAGAACGACTGTCCCTGAAACTATACTGCGATTTCATTTATATGAATAATTTTACAACGTATATCCCAGCTTCAGTATTTCATCCGCAGAAAATTTCGTAAAATGACACCAAAACCCACAACCAACTACATTTTGAAAAAAAAGAACAGCTCTCCTCTACTGATTCAAACGTCTTTTTATTCAACAGCGTGCTTTATAATGTCAAGTCCTACAAGAAGAACATGACTGAACCACTCAGAATTACCACGATCATACCGACAAAACCAAGCTGTATTGCTATTTTTCGCAGCATATCATACAAAATTGTGATATACACCCCCAAATAAGAACAGCTTTCCCAAATAAATCATCATAATTGATTAATTACCTGCATTATTTTCGTCTGATGTCCATATATTGGTGGTTCGGCTGGTACAGTGGCAGTCCAGTTAGTGGAATGTAGTTGATTTTATTCTAGCTTTTGGCATGGAATTTTTTATAAGACCCGTAGAAACTCTTCTTCCGGTAGAAATATAATCCCACTCCTCTTACGACCCACACATGTTGTATACAGTTATCTGACTGGTATAATTCACCATGTTATATTTGCACTCAAGTAACCATTGAAAAACGTGGCAGAATTATGTAGCGGTTAAACCGTTGTACTGAATCATCGACAATGCATATCAACCGATCCCTACAGAATCTCAAATTGCAACTTGTTTTCTGGTTAAAATAAGCCAATATCGTGAAGCACAGAGTTAGAATACGAAAACAGCCTCATTTGAGGCATATGAACAACACAGTATCCAACGTGATATCTAGTAATTCAGATTCACCTTAACAAAACATTTGTTCGGTCATGTTTGGAAGGGCTTTGCGTACTATCGTGACTGCATTGAAAATTCTATTTCTTATCGTCGCCGTGCGTGTGATTTGCTGAAAGTAATACAAATCCATCTGGTTCCTTAAATTCATCAAAATCCATTTGGGATATTCTACTCAGGGATCCAACTCCACATGCTATTCGAGCTATCAGTCAAGTGTGCTGTTGCGTTCGCATAATATGAAGCAATGCTGTAATGACGAGTGTGTATTAGACACACTGACGCGAAACGGGAGGCAATGTAAGGTGCATCAGATATCAAACAAGACAGAACTTCATCTTAGAGAGTCTTGTAGTTGACGCTAAAAAGTTGCTTTTCTTGATCATGAGAATATTCGATGTGGGAAAATCAGTCCGTCGTTCGTGTATCCCCATCAAACGAACCAAATGAACTCACGTGTCTTGCAGATTGAGCAAATTACTGTCCAGATATCGTTCTCATTTGTACATATATATATATATATATATATATATATATATATATATATAAATCATCAATATTTGCCACCATCTTACGTTATCCAAAGCGAGAAAAAACGTAACTAACTGCCGTGGATCAGGACACCAAAATCACTCATAATAACGAGGGTGTTCTAGAGAATATATCAATTTCGTAATTTGAACGAAATAATGGTAAGACCAATTGCCAATTGCCAGCAGAGTTTCACCAAACAGGATACCAGCACCCCTGAATTCTTCAGTGAAAATTGCGAACGTGGATAATTGTGGCCAGTGATGTCCCCGAATGGCAAGTTTCATCTATAAACCGGATACGAAGTAAGTCCGACTTGTAAACCTCTCTCTCATACATAATAATAAGGTGAAAAAAATTGATTTTTCGCTGCACGTCACGGATGTGCCCAGTGCAAAATTGGATAATTCAAGATACAACGCGTTGAATGCCTGCAGGTGTATATTTCCGGAATGTTGGTTAGTGGAATGGGAACAACAATGTTATCAGCATTTGGTGTCTTTAGGAGAATAAAATCCGCTGTATCAATATTAATGGTATCATGAGGGTTGGCATTCAGAAGAGTGCAGCTCCGGTAGTGAGTAACAAAGTCCAGCCGATTGCTTGAATCAAAGGCCGCCCCGAACCACCTGTCAACGAAGAGCAAATGCCTAAATGAATTACCGCAAGTAGGACTACATTGACAATGTAGCCCGTGACCGACAAATATCAAGCAATACATGGTAATTATTATGCCGACACAAAGGAAGCATAATGGGTTTCACCATTGGTAGATGCGTCTAGAAGCAGATCAAGGAGAAAAACTATGCACGGGCATAATCCCTGAAATCATTATGACAGCACATTCTACACATTCAACTTCATACTAATTTTAACGGAATAGAACCGTAGTAACATCGTTAGAAATTATGAGCTTACTTCGTGTGGACATTTGTGTTGGCGCAGCTGTGGATCCGGTTGCTGGTGGAGCAGCTGTGCTTCCTGAGCCTATTTGATCGGTGAATAAGGAAGAGAAAGATGACTGATATCAGTCGACAAGCGTGTTCAGACAACGTAACCAATAACCTGAATGCCAGTCAGCCACCATGGTGGTCAGGTCAATGTCCCGAAGAAGACACTTGCAAACTGACCGAAATTGTGTGCGCAATTATAGAAGTACATCTTCAAGGAAAACACTAGACAAACCACGGCTGATCACATCAATTTCATTGAGAAAAGTTTTGTGGATAAACTATCAATAGAGATGAGTACAGTACAGTCAGATCCAGGGGAGTTATTTTTACCTAATCTGCTTTCAGGTCCCTCATCTTTGTTCAATTCAGGTCTGTTCAGCTTAGTTCCTTCCATGTGGATCACGTGCAAGGTAAGCTTCATTGAAATTACATAGCTTTGATTTGGTTCTGTAGAAATGAAAATATTTCCAATCTGTCCTGTTCGAAACAAGTAGGACTAAACTAATTGCAAGTAGTTGACATTACGAGAAACTGAATACTCCTAACTAGAATTAGATCAGATGAAAATATGTGGAATATCGGAAGACGACGCAACATCTGCGAGGGTGTCAAATTGAACTGAATCTTATGCAGTGGGAATTGAGAAGTATATATATATATATATATATATATATATATATATATATATATATATATATATATATATATATATATATATATATATATATATGCTCCGTTCCATTGAATCTTAGCAACTACTACGTTCGCAGTCCTTCATTTTCTATTTGCACAGATGTGTTCAGATATATGCGTATACATGTATGCAGTCAGATACGTATATGGTTTTAGATAGAAAGCGATGGTTAAGTATACAGTGGTCGCTCACTTTGTGAGGCCATAGATGAACTCGAAGACATTTGTGTGGATTGAGCAGTCGTGCTCTGTGCAGCTTCCTGCGTGCCTGTTCGAGTGGAAAACGGAGAGAAGATGGCTTATTGGGTATTCACGTAAAAAGGTTTCCAATCAGATCGTGTGTTTGTGTGACTGCAAAACATTGACCACCAGATTGATTATATCATCGGGTGAACAAAATACTAGCTAACAGATGCGTGATTTGTGAGTGAGTGTATGTGTCAATCCAATTCAGTTATCATGGATCACACTGGACATTTAAGTGTGATGACATCAAAGCAGCTCGGATAAAATCAACCCGATCGAGTCAGATCAGGTGTGGTCAAATCAGATGAGACGCGATGAGATCAGATAAGAACAGATCAGATCAGATCGGGCCAGTTCAGTTCAGGTCAAGTTGAAAATGCTCAGCTGTGTGCCTTGCCTTCCGTCAAAGCGCGTCGCATGCTCGTCGTCTTCCCACGACAAAAAACGAGCATCTGCAACCACATAAACTCGTCTGATGTGCGAATTTCAGTCGGATCATTTGAACCATTATGCTACATAATTACTACTCAGCTCTTGTTGGATTGCTGGTTTCGTGGAAATAGCACATTCTTCCTCAGTTAGTCATATCACATCCAATAAAAAGGGATTGATTCAGAACTTGTAAAAAACTGTAGTTTTTTCCACAGCGTGTGTTCATTTTATTTCAGCGCTTTCTTATATGCTTAAGAAAACTTCACTAGACACGAAAAGATAGTTAGGAGATTTATGCTCACTTTGGACGGATGATTGTGTACTGGATACAGATGCAGCTGTCTCCGTGGTTGTTTGATCAGAACTATTGTTTAAATCCTGTGAACCTGCGTGAGGAAAAACAAGATTTTTCCTTTATTTTATTGTTATCGTTTGTTATTATCTTTTCACGTTATACCACTTTAGCTCCCAGTCATTCGTGCCGTAGCACTATATATTTCGATAAAATCTGAAATAATAACAGCCTGACTTATCACATAAGATCAATTCATAGTGAACAAGGTCAGTGCCGGTCGGATTTTCAATGATCCGGTTGCATCAGATCATCTTGTATTAGAGTCCGTGAGGTACGAGAGCAATCGTGTACCTTGTACATTTGCAACCTTAAACTGATCAACAATTTGTTCCTGGCAAATCAAAGATCGGTCAAGCAAATCACCCCGTGAACCTGAATAGTCAAACCATAAAGGTGCAACTAAGCCAGAATATTCGAATTGCGCCATTTGTCATTCTCATTCGCCTTCAACTGCATTATCTCAGCACGCAGGTCGATTTTTCACTTGCTTTCATAATTTCGCAACGGCGTGCTGCTTCATTAGATTCACTGGTATATTTTATTAGTGAACTCTCAATGTTCTCAACACCAAATTTACCGATGTTGGGTATCCGTAAACCTATTTCCCTTCTTATTTCATGGCGCCGTCTATCTCTTTTATTTCTAGACTAAAAGCCGCTTCAGTTATACAACGGCATACAAGATACAGACTAATTTAGTGTAGACAACCGTACATAATAAACCCCAGTAAAAAAGGCAGTGTCATATTATTCAAATCACCGCAGTACTTACTCATTCCACGCAAGCAAACGATCAAAAGGAGTGAAGCGATGAGGGTCCGCATAATTTTCATGTTCCCCAAATTGGTCGAAGGAAGTCGAGGAGATCTGGGACTCTGAGAAACACTGTTGTTTACTGTGATTTCGCTTATTTAGGTAACAGTATATATATGTAATTAATCTCCAACGAATTCAGCCACCCACGTGTTCTTTGCCTTCTAAATAAAAAACAGTACTTGGAGAAGTCGGCATCAGACTTCTAAATGCTGAAACATCTCTTTCTTATTTCAAACGAAGCTAAATAATTTTTTTTTAGAGAGCATTCGGCACAGTCTATCCTCGGCGAATAAAGACCTTCACTAATGTAGTTGTATTTCCTTGTACGACAGTCATCGTGTGATTCAAATAGTTGGTTTGTTCGTAAATTACTTTTGACGGATGTCTTAATGGGTCTATTAGAAATCGGAATGAACACATGGATCACATGATCTGTTACGCTCAAGAGCCATTTTAGTGGTTCGACTATAGTTTTAGTCAGTCACACCCACGAGTACGCATTCATCATTCAAATCAGTATTATGAATTCATACAATAATGAAGTAAATGTGGTTATGTATCTCATTCTTAGAATTTGAATTTGAATTGTTACCAATAACGTCCAACTGAATACTCACCAGTAAACCAGTTAGGCATACTATCAGAAGGTGCTCTGTTGTCAACACTCATGAATTCCATCCCGCAAGATATTGACTATAACACTTTTTTCTAATCTTTTGCGGCCACAGTGCTCAATGATTGCAAATTGTTGATGGCAAGACTGAAAAACTCACAAACATCATGAAAAGCAGATCAAATATCAACAAAAGTTAGTGGTACCTTTGAAATCATTTTTGTTCTTAACTCTTACAAACCAGGTATACTATGGATATAAATTGGCCATGCAGCCGAATATAGGGATATTTCTCTGAATTTTTATCACAATAGTAATTTCTTCAAGGTATATCTGAGTCCTTGGTGGCATACCGTATTACTCTGTCCAAACAGCAAGCACATTTTTGCTCTCTGTGACGCTATAAAGATGATTACCATTGAGATTTATGTGTAACAAGTTGGGACATATGGAACAGTCACCCTAATTCCATGTGTGATTCTTCCACTTTCATTTCAAGTTTCATTCCATGAGCATAACCGATCACAGTATTCCTTACTCCTTGAGTTCTGACATAACGGATGCGGGTGAATAATTCCATTTGGACGACTGCCTACTAATTAGGTATGATGAAGTTAGCAGCTATGCAAATTTCAGCCTCCGTTACAAAATCTGTTCAATTTTGTCTCTATTGAATACCCTAACGAGACATAGACTTTATCTTGATCCAATTCATTGGCCGGCTATTCTTCTCGAATAATTCAGTCGGCTGTTAACCAATTCCGCGCGAAGAAGAATGTTGCAGAATTCTGTAGATCCGACCGAGCTTGCATATGACATCTCCATGCGAAAACCAATCAGTATGGGTAAGTTGACGTGATGTTTCATAATAAACATCCGTTTTCTTCTATTTTGCGAAATAAATCGGCGTAATATTCTGATCACCAATCATGCCACAATAATCATTCAAAACTGATGGCACTTGACCTTGACATCAGTTGATCTATACGGGCCCAGATTTGAAAGTATTACTTGCAAATGCTGGATGCTTCAAAGTATGTGCAACACTAATAATGCCCATCCTTGGTATTCCGAAAACTATGGGTTGCATTCCAGTCTCAAACTTTATTTGCTTCCATCCCAATTATTCCCTATTTTTCCCATGCTTATCATACACTCGTTTTCATGCACGTTGTGATATGATTATTCCACTAATTTATTCTCCATTTATAATCAATCACATAGGAAATGAACGAAAACTCGGATGATGACGCACACGAGTCATGTCACCTGGAAAACTTAGTTTCCTTCTGTCCAGCTACCGGGAGCAGAGGGGAAGGAGGTTCACATACAATGGAATGGATTGGTGTGATTTCTATCCTACTAAGCGCACTCGGTTGTAAACAATTCGAAAGAAGAACAAACATGTGTGTTTCGGGGCAACGAAGGCAGTCAAACATGAAAACGATGAAAAATTCACAACTGCTTTGAACCAAACAACTATCGTTGGTGTAAATGAAAGTGGCAATTTAATAGTTTCCCATTTGGTACTGAGATGTGGGTTGGGCCCAACTTTTATTTTCTATGGTAACTTCAGTATGTTCAAGCGATACTACATAAACTGAATCTCCACAGTAATACTTTCATGAAGGATATATAATCATTTGTTTATGATTTTATGAGTATGCTGTATTTTGTAACTGCTTTCCTCGCAACCCAAAACTGTACTCATAATCAGATTGAGAACCAGGTTATATGAAACATATCATGTTTGGTTATACATTGTCCGTACGACTTATGACCAGATCGGTGAGTATCTGACGTTTCATTGCAGAACTCGATTTCTGGCACGGCGTTCAATGTCATCAAAAGTCCTTAATGAAAAGCCAGAGATATTGTACAACGAAGTGAACTAAACCCTGAAATGTACCGAACATTTTTTATGTATGCTTGTATAGAAATGGTTCAATCCAACAATGGTCTATCTGTATGCACACTGTCCATACATCTTTGGGACTGAGTGCAAGTGCACCCAGATGAATGTTGATTGGATAACCCGATCCGATTGTCAGTAACAATGACAGGACAAGTGAGCATGCTTTCGGGTAAATTCTCTCATTCCACCTACAGAATAATTCTTACTAATATGCACAATTTCACGTTATGCGAGTGTATATATATACAAAAGGACAAGTTGGATCACTGAGAAATGTCCTGTCGTCAATCGTTGATATTCATTTCTATCCAAAGTGAACGCTCGACTACTTGCTTAGACCACGCGAGGTCACATTATAGGGTTTGCGTGCCACTTACTTTGGTTTATGAGAACGCGCATTGCTATTCAAGCGGTGTGTGTTGCATATCGAACAGGCAACTAACCTAGAGGACCTTCTGTAAATGTCGCATTAGCCGAAGGAAATTCCCAGGATTTATTTATTTTGCACATCACCCTCAAGATGTCCTCTCTACTTACTGTTTATGTTATCATCATAGACCATTTTATCGAGTGTATGAAAAAAAATATTGTGATCTGAAAATAATATTCCACACAGAGGTTATCGAGTAATATACTGTTGAACATTTGCGTCAAAAGCACACATTCTTGTTCTCATGTGTAACGGAGACCAATTTTTACATTTAGGCCTTTTTTGGTACGTGATAAGTGACCCGCACGCATGGATTCCACTGTTCTCCGCAGTCTATGAATACCGTACTGATAAACCAACTTAGGGTCGGAAACTTTAACAATATTCAGCAGAGTTGTTCCAAAAGTAATATAGGTTTGACTACGCCTTTCGTTGGGAAAGATAAAGTAGAAGAACTGCAGCCATTGACTCTGATGAATATCAGAATATATTCAGACGTCAGATGTACCGCTAATCTGATTTGCATGTTTGTTACCCTTACGTCATGTAGTAGCAATTGTGGTCAGAAATGATTGTATCATTTGGGTAAAAGCATGGAACTATAAGGATATGTGTTTGCGGAATGATGATTTGGCGAATCGAAAATAGCATCATCACTAGTGTAGAGAAAAAACAGCCTGTCTGGACTATTGCGCTTGGTCGGTTGAATTCGAATCCCGACCACTAGTAGACGCTTGGTCAAAAGACCTAGTTAATCGGAATACGATGCCGCAATTGGTAAGCGGCATTGAAAAAGCCATAAACTTCGAACCAAATCTCTTCAAGTCACTGAGTAAAGTGCAGGTCAAACCGTCTGCATAAAACAGTTTGTTATGTGATTGTGCGAATGGCGAACAGATTAGCGTACAGCGGGTTGCTCGAGGCTGACTGGATAGCATAGTCACAGTTCAAGGTCTGCGGATCTGTGTGTGTTTGAGAATGTGGGCGCCCTGAGGTCGGTTAATGTATGTGTGTCACACGTGTGAAACCACTCGAACATTCTTCATTGTGATCAATTTCACATGCACGCACAAACGTACACGCACAGTTTTGGATGATCATTACCCTTTGTTTTTTCTAGTTATATTTATTGTTATGTATTGGTATGAGATCGACTAACTGAATACGAACTCTTTTAAATCATAGAATACGCCCATCGATTCATGAAAATACTTGTAACACGAAGAAATTTCTTTTCGACATATCACTTCAGGCATTGATATATATAGTACCTGGTAAAAGAGGGTATATGTGCAGCTAAATATAGCAGAGTGTGAGTAAATGTGCAACAAATCCGGTAACTCGACAACATGCTTCAACTTAATGAATCTTGTTCGTTGTGTGAACGACAATAAGTGTGAAATGTGTAACCAAATGGCGTGAAAAGGCAGGTGTGACAAACAAAGGTGTGAAAAAAGGAGGTGTGGGGCTGGGGAGAATTGGTACAAGGGGACTATAAGAAAATCACGTGTTACGGCCACGGCAACAACAACTGTTGCACGAGGTTACGTTGCTTCATCTCTCGGACCTAAGTTTTGTGCAACTCAACCACGTTATCATCGGGTGGAAATTGAAACTCAGTTTGAAAGTCTAATGAGCCAATTGTACGACCTGGTACCAACATCATCTGACTCAACTGACGGCCTGAAAACATCACTTGTTTATGAATGTCAAAAGTATCACGCTACTAGATCTCCGTTGAACGGAATACTAACTAAGCAACATCGAGAAGCGGTCCAGGAACTAGTGAATAATGAAGATTTACTACTATCGAAACCGGACAAAGGTGCCGGATGGGTTGTACTAGACCGAAGCGATTACGACAGAAAATTGATGACTATTTCATCTGATGAGAGCAAGTTCATTTACCACCCGAGTGAGAAAGACAAAACACAAGAAGCCGAGACTAAGCTGACAGAGATCTTGAAGCAGCTTAAGTCAGAAAACACTATTTCCTAAACGCTGTACGACAAGCTTGTATCCTGCGGCTCACAACCACCTAGACTCTATG